TTTTTTTTTTCAAACCCTGTTCTTGTTTTTTTCTGACACTAAAAATAAGCTGCCTGCCAAAAAAGTATTTTGCAGCACCACAGCAGTTTTTAACATACAACAAAATTATCCATGAACTGTAAAGACTGAAACAATCTATTTTTCAACCGGAAGTCGAATGATTGGTGATCCTGCTTCCTGTAAAAGCGTTCTTATCTCAGTGGCCTTGCAGGTCATCTACAATCCTCCAGTCACATCTGTCATCAGCAGCTCTCTTCTATAATCTGTTAACTTTTATGGCCAAAGTAACCTTTTATAACCCTTTGTGTGATATTAAAACAATACAGGTTTTTACATTTCCTGTTTCACAAAGGTTTAAAAAAAAAAAAGCATGTCGAGAATTTAGACTTTTTGAATCCCTGTGACAGACTGGCGACCTGTCCAGGGTGTACCCTGCCTCTCGCCCTGTGACAGCTGGGATAGGCTCCAGCACCCCCCGCGACCCTGAAAAGGATAAGCGGAAGCGAATGGATGGATGGATGAATCCAGAATATTACATTAAAGGAATTTAGTAGAAGGAAAGCAAAAGATCAATCAAGTAATAATAATAATAATCACTTAATAAAATCACTTGAATTTTACTTACCTAATTAAGCTAATGTAGATTCCTAATGCTGATCTTGGGAGGAATGAGAGAGAGGATGGGCTCATCCAGGCCTGAAGATGCATTTATTTCTGTTCCCTGTCAATATAATCCAATAGCAAAGTAACTCTAAGTAATTGGAGAACACTATAGTGTTCTCCAATTACTTTGAAATGGTAATCCAACATTGTACGAGAAGAAAAAGAAAAAAGCCAAAAAATTATCATTCGTAAGTTCATAGTGTTCGGCAGCACCTAATCCTTTGGCTTTTTTTTTTGCTGTAATTTCCAACTGTGAACTTCCAAGTCTGGATTTACTGATCATGCAGGAAACTAGAGGAAGAATCCTGAATGCTCCTAAGTGACCCCTTAGAAGCATTGATAGCCATTTGGCCATGTTGTATGCATGACTTCTACTCCCCCACCCTTCTTCCTCTAACCAAATGTGGTAAGAAGAAGAAGGGCAGAAGATGGGTATCCCATCCTTTGTTTCTTTTGCGTGTGAATATACATTCCTTCATACACTTCATGCATAATCATATATATTCTAGAGATAATATTGGTGCAAACACAGAATAATATGAGATGCAATAAATATGATGCATGTGTCTCACCTGTATCACTTGTGGATGGCAAGACCTGAGGATGAATATGAGTTATACAGGAAATTATTACTATTTGCATTGGCATTGCTCTTTAACAACATTTGAAGGACACTAGCATACAAGTTTTACAATCAACAAACTTAAATGCAGTTATATTTATAACTAGCAGACTGATGAAGAATACATTATATACCTAATACCTTATCACAGAATTGGAGACTTTGCTTCGCACCCTTAAAAATCCTATAGCTAGCCAGGCCCCTTTAGCCTGTCCAGTCAAAGGCTAGCTCCCTCTGGCAAATTGTCCCGAACAGTCGGGGAAACAAGATGACTGGGTGACGATGAGGAGGAAGCATAGTCTTAAACAGAAGTCCCCGGTACACCACCAACCTGTTCATGTGTCTAACTGTTTTTGCCAACTTGGCAAAACACTCGCCAGGAATCAAACTCTGGTAATTGGTGATTCTGTTCTTACTTGAATCGAGGAGGGGGCCTAAGGGTACACCTTTCCCATCTTAAATGCTGTAATTGCAGCCATTCCCCAACTCTCTGAATGGTATTCATGGCCATTGATCAGCGGGTTTTGGTCAGTGGTTGTTGATCAATGGTCATGAGAATTTGCATAATTAACATTAAGGAACTGACCTCCCAGCCCATTGTTCCTTCACTGGACTGGTTTCAGTCATTATGCAAATGTACTGCAGTCAGCTGAAACTAAAGAAGTCACTTGGATGAGTGACGAAACGGTTCTCCCAACAAAACGCTACGTCCAGATGAACAGAATCAAGTTTTGGAGATTTACTTCCTGATGATTGATGCATCAAGACAAAACGATAGAAATAGTAATTACTCAGATTCCAGTTACAGAAAAAAAGTAAAAGAGTTGCTTTTAACGCGGTTTTTCCCATCACTGATTATTACTGCCAGTGCATTTTTAAATATACAGATAAAGTCACCTCTGTTCACCTAAAATAGCAATGATTGTCAAAGAACTTAATTACCTTTAACAGCTTGAGGTTCTTCTTGAATCTCATTCTTGGTCCAGCTTTTGTGATCAAATTCTCAATTTCTCGATCATCAAGCTCAAAAATATTTTCTTCATCAATTTCTTGATCTGTAATTAAAAATAAAGTTGCAGAGATAAAGATTATTCTCAACTTACTTCACAGATCACATCAGAATCAATATCTGTACCCATCAGGGATTCACGTTAATACTTTACCTTTAAATTTTTCCACCCACTCACTTAGCCCCCATTCAACCAGTTTGGTTCTTACGAAATCATCCATGACCAAGAAATGTAAGATAAACTGTAAGATAAAATGCAATATTTAACCAGACAATACTGCTTTACAGGTTAGACATTCGTGATCGACTTCTCCTTTAATGCATATATAATCAGAGACAGTGATATTAAATTCAGATTAAAAGTTCAAACTGCTCACCTTTTGTTAGAAGTAATGCTGGAAAAGGCTGCTGAGGGAGATGTGAGGGAAGCAGTGAGACACAAACAGGAAACAGGCGGGAAGAAAGAAATCCAGCAAAGAGCAAAGTCCACAAACAGATCGGTTAAAAACAAACTGGAACTCTGTGGCTCAGACTGCACAATTGCAACTGCATCTATACATAAAATACAAAGGCAAATCCAACATGAGTAACGCGGGAACAGGAAAAGCAGAACGGAGAACTGAGAAAGGCAGGAAGAGGAGGTGTTTGTGCAGCGCAGATGGGCGTGGCTGGAAGAGCGGTAACACCCTCCCTCGGAGCCCTTTTTTTTCAACAATGAAACGATGTTGGGTGATAAACACTTTTTTTTAAAAAGCCTAATAACAAATACCATCTTTAATCCTTAAAAATACTAATAAAAATATAAATTGCCACTCTTTTCTGTTACAGTCATCAGCCCAGCCACACCCATCCCCCAATAGATAAAATACAACTGTTAAGTTGCATATTATCAATACTTCTCTATACCCCAACACAAAATCTACAACACACCACAAAGCTGTTAAACGCTGTATTTCGCACCTCAAACCTTTTGTAAACAATAACAAATAAAGTACTAACAATTACAGGTTGCATAATAATCAACTCTTTTAATAACAGAAATCTTTATGGTTTAATTTATTGTACGTGTAGTTTTTTTTAACTGTGTAAGAATATTTAACATTATGCTATCAATACATTTAAAAAAATGCCTCTCTTCAAAATGGGTTTAAAAACATAAACAGCTGTGGGATACTGTTTGTCCATGATTTGGACAGCCCAGTGCGGGCTTCCGACGCAGGGGGATACCTACCTACCTTGGCACTAGGGCTGGTTATCATCACTGATTTCTAGAATCGGTTGAATTCCAATTCGATTCAATTTTTTCTCAGACAGTCAGAAATATTAGAATTTTGATCATTTATCAGTACTGATACTTCATCAGAGGTTTAAGCATATGCAATATACACAACAGATGCCTTTGTGTCAAAGTAACTAAGGATAAAACACAGAAAAACATGAAGGAGATTTTCCTGGCCTGGCTTTTCCTTAAAAATATTCTGCAGTGGATCAAAAACTGAAGAAAACCGTTAATCAACATATGAACATTACGATGTTCAGGTAATAGCTTGCTTGGTATAGTTAGAGAGACTGTAGATTGCATAGTGGGAGGGGGCTGGGGTGCAGGGCAGGAGAACAGCTACCCCCACCCCCAGGACTGGAGGCCACAGTTACAAGCCTGTGGGAGGGCAACCCTCCAGGGCAAAGAGGAGAGTGGTGGAAAACTACGTGAAGAGAGCAGCCCACTAACACCCCACCCCCCCCCCGCCCCGCAACACACACACATGGATCAGCCTTAAGGTGTGCTGGATCTCACAAGATGCATCTGTAAGGGAAGAGGTTTGAAGAGTGGACAAGTCCTGCAGGCCATCAGTAAGCTGTGAGGATGTCGTCGTGTGCAGGCACTGATGGCGTGTGACGTGCCGTCAATGGGCACCCTTAACTGCCAGGATCACGCACGATTTCAATCAATTAATCAATCAATCAATCAATCAATCAATCAATCAATCAATCAATCTTTATTTATAAAGCACTTTTCATACAGAGAAAATGTAGCACAAAGTGCTTTACATAGTTAAAAGCAGCCCACCCCACCCTCCAACTCACTCCCCACACTCTCAATACACATATATCCCCCCACCCACACACACATACACACACGCGCACACTTAAAGAGTAAAAATTGGGCTGGGCTCGCATGAGCCAAGTGAGGAAACATTATAACAGAGAGCCGTCTGCACCGGGAGCCGGTCACAGACCGCAGCCTCCGGGCTGGGCACACAGCAGGAGGGAGGCCAAGGAGCCCCCCAACCAGGCTGAGAGGACCCCAGAGCCATGGTCAATAACAGCCCCGGTGCAGAGAGCGCCCTCCGAGGAAACACTGGAGATATGACGCAATACGATATATACAGGGTAAAATGATAAAATAAATAAGAACAGGATACAATATAAATATAAATAGAGTAAGAAGATTAAAAAATGAATAAGAATAAAATCAAAAAATATTAGGTAAATCCTAAATTAATAATAGAATAACAGGATAGAATAAATAAGCATAAAAAATAAATAAACGCTAAGTAAAAGCTAAATTAAAAAGGTGGGTCTTGAGCCTGTTCTTAAAAACATGTACGTTCTCTGCGGCCCTGAGCTCCTCCGGCAGGCTGTTCCACAGACGAGGACCATACCACTGAAAAGCTGCCTCTCCGTGAGTATGTGTCCTGACTTTAGGGACAATCAAAAGGCCAGTACCAGAGGACCTCAGGGTCCGCGAGGGTTCGTATGGTAAAAGCAGATCTGAGAGATAAGAAGGCCCAAGACCATTAAGACATTTAAAAACCAATAAAAGAACTTTAAAATCGATCCTGAAACACACGGGGAGCCAGTGCAGCGATTCTAAAACCGGTGTAATGTGGGCCCGCCCTCTGGTCTTCGTCAGCACACGAGCTGCCGAGTTTTGCAAGAGTTGTAAAGTTGAAATATTCTTCTTAGGAAGACCAGAGAGCAGGGCATTACAGTAATCAATGCGACTGGTAATAAAAGCATGCATCAGCATCTCCGTGTTGGCCCGAGAGAGAATAGGGCGGACTCTGGCTATATTTTTTAGATGATAAAATCCAATTTTGGTTACATGTTTAATATGTGGGATAAAACCAAGCTCAGAGTCAAAAATAACACCCAGGTTTTTCACTTGTAGCGAAGGACATAGTGAAAATGCCTGTAATTTAGACAAGAGTTTCTCTCTCTGAGCCTCAGGACCGACGATTAAAACTTCAGTTTTGTCCTGGTTAAGCTGTAAAAAGTTTTCTGCCATCCAAGATCTTATATCCAAGATACAGTTAAAGAGGGCATCCATTGGTCCGGTGTCATCAGGAGACACGGAGATGTACAGCTGCGTGTCATCAGCGTAACTGTGGAAGTTCACTCCATGCCTCCTGATGACACTGCAACTGTTTACATCTTTGCGTGGAATCCGTTTACCTGCTCTCATTTGCTGATTTAGTTGTTTGGTGGTTGTTGATATAGTTTTCTTAGCTTTAACCTGAAATGCACAAGATTCTTTTGTAATCAAT